ACATATGTAATACTCTTTGTAATACTTTAAGCAATAAAACAAAATTAAAAACAAACAAAAATAATGAAGTTGGGTTCCTACCTCATAACATATACAAAAATTAACTGAAAATGAATCAAAGGCCTTTTAAAAAAGTGCTTAAACTATAAATCCTTAGGAAAAACATAGGGGTAAATCTTCATGATTTTGGACTTGACAATTGACTCTTAGCTGTAACATCAAAAGCACAAGCTACAATTTTTTTAAAAAGCACAAGCAACACAAGAAAAAATATAAATTGCACTTCGTCAAAATTTAAAACTTGTGCATCAAAGGACACTTTCAAGAGAGTAAAATGATGGGTCACAGAATGGGAGAAAATATTTACAAACCATATATCTGATTAATATCCAGAATATATAAAGAACTCTTACAGCTCAACAACAAAAAGACAACTCTATTTTAAAATGGGCAAAGGATCTGTAATACTTTCAACAATAAAGATAAATTTTTAAAAATAGCAAGCAGGACCATGGAAGAGAGTATCCTGATAACTTTGAAAGAAAAGAAAAGAAAAAAAAATGGGCAAAGGATTTAAATAGTTATTTCGATAAAGGAGATAGACAAATGGCCAACAAGCACATAAAAAGATGCTCAACACCAGTTGTCCGGAAAATGCAAATCAAAACCACAACGAGGCATCGCTTCATACTCTCTAGAATGGCTATCATTAAAAAATGGAAAATAAGTGTTGATGAGGATGTAGAGAAAATGGGACTCTCATTGTTAGTGGTGAGAACACTGTGGGAAACAGTTTGGTGATTCTTCGATAAGTTAAAACATAGAATTACCCTATGACAGTGGTTCTCAACCTTCTGGCCCTTTAAATACAGTTCCTCATGTTGTGACCCAACCATAAAATTATTTTCGTTGCTACTTCATAACTGTAATGTTGCTACTGTTATGAATCATAATGTAAATATCTGATATGCAGGATGGTCTTAGGCGACCCCTGTGAAAGGGTCGTTCGACCGCCAAAGGGGTCGCGACCCACAGGTTGAGAACCGCTGCCCTATGACCTGACAATTTCACTCTTGGTGTATTTCTAAAGAATTGAAAACAGGTGTTCAAACAAAAACTTGTACACACACACAAAAAAAAAGATGGAGAAAAAAACTTGTACACAAATATTCATAGCAGTACTACTCATAATAGCTAAAAGGTAGAAACAACCCAATGTCCATCAACTGATGAATAGGTAAACAAAATAGGTATATCCATACAATGAAATATTTGGCCATAAAAAGGAATGAAGTACTGACCATGCTGCAACACCAATGAACCTTGAAAACATTATGCTGAGTGAACAAAACCAGTCACAAAAACCACATAATGTATGACTCCACTTATGTGAAACAGCCTGAGTATGCCCGGCTGGCATGGCTCAGTGATTGAGCATCGACCTATGAACCAGGAGGTCATGGTTCGATTCCCAGTCAGGGCACATTCTGGGTTGTGGGCTCAATCTCCAGTGTGGTGTATGCAGGAGGCAGCTGATCAATGGTTCTCTCTCATCATTGACATTTCTAGCTCTCTCTCCCTCTCCCTTCTTCTCTGAAATCAATAAAAATATTTTAAAAAGAAAAGTAGATTAGAGGTTCCCAGGTGTTGGGGAGGAGGGAAGGATGGGGAGTGACTGCTTAATAGACAGTTTCCCTTTGAGGTGAAGAAAAAGTTCTGGAAGTAGATAGTGTTCATGGTTGCACATCATTGTGAATGTCCTTAATGCCATTGAGTCATACACTTAAAAATTGTTAAAATGATAGATTTTATGTGTATTTTACCACCATAAAAAAAGATCAAAGTTAAATAAGATACTGGGAAATCCCCCATCCACCCACTTCCACACTCACTTTAAATAAATAATCATCATTTATTATTATCATTTGTTGCTTGTAGTCTTTCTAGAGATTGTTTTATGCATATACAAACTAATGTAAACATATGTAGGGTGTCCCAAAAAATGTATACACACTGAATAATTATAAAGGCAATGTTTATTAAAATACATTTCATTTTCATAATTCAGCTATCAGCTTATAAAGTATGTATACATTCTTTGGGGACATTCTGTATATATACTCTTCAAATGGTAGAATCAAATGATAGAATTCTAAAAATGATAGAATACACAGTTTGGCATCTTACTTTTTTTCTCCTTTACTTTTCTTAGAGATCCTGCTACCCAAGAAAATAAAGAACTTCCTTGTTTATTTTTACAGGCATATAGTTTTTTATTGCATAGATTTATCATATTGTAGTTAGTCTCTTATGGTGGGATTTTTAAATTGCTTCTAATTGTTCACTATTGTAAATAATGTTGCAGTGAAAATTCATATATTTTCATTTCACATGTGTGCAAGGGAATCTGTAGGATAAATCCCTGGAAGAGAATTTGTGAGGTCAGTAAATAGGCATCATTTGTAATATTGCTGAGTATTGCCAACATAACTGCCTTAAAGAAGGTGCCAGTTTACATCCCCATCAGTGGTCTATGAGGAAGGCCAGCTAACTCTTTGTCATGAAGCAGCTGCCTCCTCCTCAGCCTGGACCTAGACTCAAATCCCAATGCTCTGCAGAGTGTGGGGAAGGGTGGGGTGCCAAGTCATTGACCACCGTGTCCTGCTCCCCTCCACCTGTGACCTCAGGCATAGAATCGATGTGTAATGGAGGCTCCACCCTCCGAGACAGGCCAGCCCAGTGTAACCTCAGCCTTGCTTGCTCTGCACGCCTGTGGTCGGGGGAGACTGGAGATGCTGCAGTACAAAGCCCACTTTTGACTCATCTCTCATAGGTGGGGCCCCCATGGTACACTGGTTCCCCGGATAGGACAACCCCAGAAACCTCAAGCCCCACTCATCTCCCCTAAAGGGGGCCCAGGGACTCCCTGGACAGCCCACTCCAATCCCCTTCTCCTAATTCCCCCTCCACCTTGTTCTCCCCTCCTTATGAATACATGACCCGCCACTTCTCTTGATCTGCCTCACTCTCCCGTTTCTATTAAAAAAATTTATTACATTTCTGCTGCTTTTCTCTTCTCCACTTCTTCACAGTTCTTTGTTTTGCTTCTTTTTCTCTCTGATCCTAACCATAGGATGGCAGAAGCTTCTAGTTCAACCCCCCTCTTTATACAAATGGAAACCTGAATCCCAGAGTGGTGAGCGACTCACCCAAGGTCACACAGTGCGCTGGAGGCAGAACGGGGACTGAGACAGCTGCTTTCTTTCCCTCCAACCCAGGCACCATCAGTGTGGAAGTGAGTGCCCTCTCCCCAAGTAGCCCCAGTGGGCTCTACCTAATCCCCTTTCTCTTTCCACGGGGGAGGGGGACTTCTTTAGTCTTCCCTTCTCTCCCTCCGTGGTTGTCTCATTTTCCTGGACTCAATTCTGACTCCAGTACACACCCTACTGTTCCCTGAGCAGCTGAGAACCAGCGGCTTCCCAGTCCATCCAGATCTTCCCAAGTCAGGCAGAACCCTGTGCTGTCCACTCGGGAGTCACCAGGAGGAAAGAGAACCGAGCCCCTGGGCTACAGTCGCCCAGGACTGGGGTATCTGAGCTGAGCACCCCCTTCCCCCCTCCCACCCCCCACTGCGAGCTCATTAAGCAGCAGGGATGGCAGCTGGGGAGTAATATTGGGAGACCCTACCTTGACATAATCCTTGGCACATGGCAGGCATTCAAATTAATAGCACCCACACATTCCCTCACCTCCTTTTCCTCCCTCCAGCCCCATTCTTGGGAAACTGATGCAAGAGAGAGAGGTGGGGAGAAGGAGGGCTTGTGAAATGGGAGGAAGGAACAAGACAGAGGATCTTAGGAATGCAGAAAGGAGTTCAGAGCCTTGCTCAAGTTTCAGTGAATCCTGGGAGTCTTCAGGTCAGAACCCCTTCCAGGGAGGTTGGAACCAGGTGGGGCCTGGACCAGTACAGAGGCAGGAGGGCTGATGCCCTGGTACTCACAGGTGCGAGCAGGGCAGCCTTTCCTCCAGCGGCAGCGGCAGCCTTTGTGTACTGATCTGGGAGGCTACAGAGGAGGAAGTGACACGCCCGGGGTGGGGAAGACTTGGGGGTGGTGGGGGTGACTGATCTAGAAAGTGGAGCAGATAGGGTGGAACTGGGCCAAGAGAGTTGATGATATAGGGATCTGGAAGATCATCTATTGAGCACCTAGTAGGTGCTGGGTGTATTCTGATGTTATAACTAATCCTCACAGGAGCCTCATGACATCGGTGTTAATATCTCCCCAGCCCCCCCTAGTTTCACAGATGTAGAGGCTTAGAGGTAAAAAGTAAAAACTACCCAAGGTCACGTTGCTAGTAACTGGATGATCTGGGATTGCCTCCAGAGTTGATGATGTCTTCACTTCCTTGTATATATAAGAACATGATAGGAAGAAATATGGAGGCAGTAAGTACTGGGGGGAATTGGTGACTATTGTTCAGTTTGAAAACCCCGTGTCCACTGTACCCTTGCGGGTGCTTGACTATACCAGCTCTGGAGCCAAACTGCCCCACTTCAGATCCTGGGTCTGCATCCCTTACTAGTCTTGGGACCTTAGGTAAGTTATTGACTCTTCCTGTGGCTATTTTCTCATCTGTCAAGTGGAACTCATAGGGTTGGTGGTTGAGAATGAAATGAGATTAATTCATATCAGCTGTTTAGAAGAGAACCTGGCACATACTAAGGGCTTGATGAGAGAATCAGTGAATGAGAAGTAATGGGGTGAAAAGTGGAGAGGCTTTGAGAAATTCAAGGTCCAGACAGCTGGGAAGTTGAGAGAGAGGCACAGGGCCAGGCTCAGAAAATGAGACGGGGCCAAGGAGCCCAGACAGTAGTGGAGCCTGGAAAGGGGTGGAAGGGCCACCTAGGAGAAGCATACCGAGCAGGAATGGCAGCTGGAGCGGGGGCAAGAATGAAGCCTATAGTCTGGCCAGTGTGGCCCTGTGGTTGAGCATCGACCTGTGAACCAGTTTCAATTCCTGGTTGATTCTGGGTTACTGGCTCGAACCCCTGTGGGGGGCATGTAGAAGGCAGCCGATCAGTGATTCTCTCATTATTGATGTTTCTATCTCTCTCTCCCTCTCCCTTCCTCTCTGAAATCAATTTTAAAAAGTTGTTTTTAAGAATGAAGCCTATAGAAAGACAGGGTTGTGGAAATACTCGCCCTGGCCCACACTTGACCAGAGGGAGCTTTGAGAAGGAACTGATGCGAGGTCTGTGTTCACAGGTCTGTCTCCTGTGTCAGGAGCACTCCTTTGGGACAAGACTAACTGAAGCCACAGCACCTAGCAAAGTGCCCATCTCTTAGCAGGTGCTCAGTAAATGGCAGCTGGATTGTAGGCGCATAGCTGCTGGGAAGAGCAACTGGGGGGAAGGGGTTCCTCCTTTGGGTGGCCTCAGGCTATGGGACCTTTTACCCTTCCCCCACTACCAGAGGTTACCATGGCAACCACCTCCCCTACCCCATAGGCCCTGTGGTTTCCTCTAGAGCTTCTTTCACTTTCTTCTTCTGCTTTTCCCCAGTGTTCTCTCTTCCCCTACTCCCATATCCTCAACCTCTCTCCATATGCACAGGTCATTGGTGAAGAAAGCCAGGAACAAGGTAGGCAAGGCACTGTCCCAGGGAAGAAGGTGGACCATGGGGGTGCAGAGAGGTGATGCTGAGGGAGCACAAGGGTGCAGTGGTAGAGGCCAAAGGCAGTGGGGCAGATAGGGGCAAGGGGAGAGATTAGGACAGAAGATAGCAGTGGGGTCATGGAAGCTGAGTGGAGGCCATGGGGTGAAGAATGGGGTCAGAAGGGACAGAGAGTGGTCATAAAGGGTGGGAGAGCTCATGGAGTGAGAGGTTGGTATAAACAAACACTTAACTTAGATATAGGCTGTGGGTCTTTTCTTCTGGGGCCAGAGACCCTCATGAGAACCAAATGAAAGGTCAATGAACCCCCTCCCCAGAGAAGAGCAGAGATACACATATATATGACCATGGGTGGGGACAGCTTAAAGACCTCTGAGGCCCATTCCTGCCTTCCCAGAGGTCCATAGGGTCTGATCTAAGAATCCCCCCGGGTGGTTGTGGGAGGCCCAGAAACTCAGGGTGGACCCTGAAGGCTGCCTTTCTTCCTCTCCCCACCCCTCCCCTCCCCTCCAGGCACATTACATTCTATTTCCTTGGTTCCCCTGAGAAAGGCGCAAAACCCAGTAGATTAGGAGCTCTCCCTCTTCACCCAATCCCCCTTCAGGTCAGCTGGTCCTTTCCCCCACCGACACCTCCTCGAGGGAGCCACATCCCATGAGTTTCTATCACTTTATTTTGCAAAAATAGAAAACTCAGCAATATGCGATACAGCGGGGTGGAGGGGAGATGTAAACAGAGGGGAAGGGACAGCACCCTGACCCCCCAGGAAAAAGGGGAGCCAGTGGGAATCTTATTTGGCAGCTAAATACAAACTGGGGATTGGAGGAAGAAGGGGAGAGTCACAGGGGCCCTGGGCTCCCCCTCCCAAGACCCCTAGAGGAAGGGGTCAATTCCAGGGTGTAAACAAAAGCTAATAAATAAATAGAGGCTTCCTCTGGGTCAGGGCAGGATCAGCTAAGCAGCACCCACCCCCCCTCTCCCTGGGCCAAGCTGCTCTGGGGGTCAGGGAGGAAGGCACTAGGGGCAGAGGGGTCCCCTGGCCCCTCTGTAGTGTAGGAGGGTCCCTGCCCCATGGCTGAGATGGGGGGCAGGGAGAGCCCAAGGCACATGACAGGACTGGGGAGGGGCTTATAACAGAGGGCACAAAGGTAAACTCTGGGCCCAAGCAAAGAGGTGCAGAATGGGCCTGCATCTGTAGCTTTCACCCTCTGGACCCCCACAGAAATGCAGGGCCTGGCATGAGGATGGGGCATAGAGGGTAGCATGCACCCAGTGGGTGCATTTACGCAGCATTAGGCACCAAGGGCAAGGGCAAGAGGGTGGGCTCAGCCCGCCCCCTTCACCCCTCTTTTGGTCTCTAGTGTTCCTGTTTGCTCCCAGAGGCCTAAGCACCGGGCAGAGGAAGGGACTGTGGAATGGCAGGGTCTTCCTCCTGCCCTGGGGAGATTGGGACCCTGGTGTCCTAGGGCAGTGTTGAGATTTTACAGTCCAAACCCAGGCTCAGCCCTCTGCCCTCTTTCCTGGAGGGAGCAGGGCAGGCTCCCAAGACTGGAAAGGGAGCCCGTTAGAGCAGGAAGGGAATGAACACAAAGGTACCCCCTTGGAAACTTTGGCAAAAACAAGGAGCTCATTGGAAGGGGTGGGGAGAGGGCAGAGCAGGTCCTCCCCCAGTCACTGGTGGTGTCTGGGAGATGGTCAGTCTGCTGCCTGGAGCCCCAACCCCCATGGCAGGGGAAATCAGGGGCCCTGGTCAGGCTGAGGGCTACGGCCCCCTTTGCCCTGGCCCCCCGGAACCTCATCCTTGCTAGAGGCCTTGGGTTGGGGACCAGTCTGCGAGGAATCGTCCTCAAACATTTCAGGGTTCTCCAGCATCTCTCGAATCAGGGGAGGCATCGGGCCTGGAATCTCCATCTTCAGGGTAATGGCCCTTTCTGCTCCTGCAATGGAGGGGCAAAGAGTTTCAGGGGACAATGGCACATGCCCCTTGAGGCTACCTTTCTTAACTATCCTATGAGTCCCCTCTGGGGGCACCCAGCACAGGCCTGCCCTCTCACCCTCTCCCTAATTTAGGGCTCTGGGGGCCACCCCTCTGCCTGCAGTCTCTACCTGTTTTCTCTGCCAAGCTGTTGCCATTCATCCTATTCTTTCAGGCTGTCTTCTCAAAGATCACACCGTGCCCAGCTTCCAGCCCCATTCCCCAGGGACCCCACCCTCCAACATCCACAGCTCCCCAGTTGTTCCTACGCCTGTCTTTAATAGCATATAATCATGCTTATTATTTAGCAAAGGCTTACTATCTGCCAGGCATCCTTCTAAACCTGCACTGTCCAACAGAACTTAAAGCGATGATGGACTATCTACTCCATCCACTATAGTAAGTGTAGTCATGTGGCTACTGCCACTGAGGAACTGAATTTTTCATTCAGTACAGTTCGAAGCCTGTTGTGTGTTAACTCATTTAGACCTCACAATAACTTACGAGGTAGGTATAAGTATAGTCCAGTTTACCAACAGGAGAACAAGGCACACAAAGTAAAGGAATGTGCCCAAAGTCTTCCCCGCCAGCATGTGGCAGACCTAGATTCCACTGTAGGCCCCTGGTTCTCACCTACTCAGTTCTTGCCTCTATTTGTCCACCTGACTGACCTGGAAGACCAGCACCTCTGGGAAGAGAGGGAAGGCTCACTTATGACTAACCCTTGGTGCTGATGCCCCGGAGGTCAGTGATTTTCATGAGCATCCTTGGGAACATGTAGGGCTGGCTGGGCCGCCGCCGCCGGGCATATAGCCTCAGGGCTTCCAGCAGTGGCTCCTGTAGCTTGTCCACTTTTTCAGGTTCCTCCAGGTCCATGCGGTCTATGAGGACAAGCACAGTGTAGAATGGAAGAGGTGGGGAGGGCAGCGACAAGTGGCTGATCCTCAATTGGCCTGCCTTGTGGGCCTCCAGGCCTCAAATGTTGTCCCATCAGCCCTTGGCCTATTATCCCTAAGCCCCATCCAGGCCATCTCCCCTGCTCCAGGCTCTGTACCTTCTCCCCTTTAGTAAGAGGCTTGCTCTGATAAATCACTCCTGCCCAGACCCCTCTCTCAGCAACAGTATCTGGGGTCTCTCCAGCTCCCCCTAGCTCTGGCCTTTTTGTCCTATGTCCAGGCTCAGGAAGCTGGCACTGGATCTAAGAAGTCTGCGGATGAGGCCAAATACAACAATCCCACGGGTACAGACCAAGGGTTCCAGCCCGGTGAGAGATCAGGTATGATGTGTGGTGAGAAAGGAACCCGAAAAAACACCAGGGGGCGCCCCCACACCTCCGCAGATGAGGCAGATGGCACTGAGCAGACCAGTCTCTGTGTCATCCATCTCCAGTGGCAGGAGCTGCCCAGCAAAGGCAAAGACGAGGTCAGTGAGGGGTCCAAAGCCAGCGTTGTGCATCTGAGTCCGGTTCAGGGTCAGCCCGTCAGAGAAGGTCATGGTGTCCTGCTCTGGGGTGTACCTTGTGCAGATCCGAAGCATCTAGAGGTGGGTGAGGGGAGGGTTAATGCTCTCTCTGGAGAGGGGCACATGTGGGCGTAGGGCAAAGAGGGAATGAGGTGCACATGGAAAGTGAGGTGGTTAGGTCCAAAATGAGGGCAATCTGAAGCAGGCCAGTGGGGGAAGACAGAGAGGTGTGTAAGATCTGAAGCTTGGGGAGCGGGGAGAAGTCAAAAGGAGGGAGGACATCCAGAAGTCCAGGATCAATCTTAGGGACAGGGGTTAAGATAAAAAGGGTGGTGCTGAGAGGAGATCTGGGGATCCCGGGATCTCAGTAGATAGAGTCAGCCCACGAACTGAAGGGTTAATGGTTCAATTCCCAGTCAAGGACATGTACCTGGATTGCAGGTTTGATCCCGCCCTGACTGGGGTGTGTGAGGGAGGCAACCCAATTGATGTGTCTCTACACATGGATGTTTCATTCTCTCTCTCTCTCCCCCTCCTTTCCACTCTCTCTAAAAATCAATGGAAAATATATCCTCGCATGAGGATTAACAACAACAAAAAACAGAGATATGGGGAATCCCAGATTGAATGCAGGAAGGAGAAATAATAAAAATCTTTGAGTGGACCAACTCCTTGGTCTCATATGAGGGTCAGGCTATGGTGGAAGACAGGCCACGGGGTTATAACTCACCAGGATGTCCAGGCAGGCAGCCTTGAGCAGAGTAATCTGGTCGGCAATGCTGAGCCCTGTGAAGCCAGGCAGCCGCTTGGCAAACTCCACAATCTTGATGATGCACTTGGTGGCCAGCTCACTGAACTTGTCCCACAGTCCCAGATCCAGCTGTACCCGGTGGTCTGCACTGGAGTTCTACAGGGAGGGCAGGTGAGAATGCAAGCTGAGACCTGCCCTGCAAGCTGTTTTCTTTCTGCCAGTACCTCAAGCTCGCCCCTCTGCATTCTGATGCCTTCCTTGTCCTCAGCACCAGACCATAGCCTCCAACACACCCCTACCCATGCCCCAAAACCAACAGTCCCCTGCCCCCTCCTCACCGTGGTGTATTTTCCCAGCTGGCAGAGAGAAGGGAAGGTCTCCTGATGGGCTTTGCTGACCTTGGTGATGAGCTCTTCTAATTGGGGGCTCAGCTCATAGCTGTCAAGCGAGCCTTCTTCCTTCACCTCTTTCTTTTTCTTGTTCCGGTCATTCCGCACAGCTTGGGGGTGGAGGTGCAAAGAGAGGGTCAGGACCCTCAGAACCTCCCTCTGGATATCCCCCTGCACCCTAATTTAATGTGCTCCATCCTTATCGTGAACATCTATTCACCTTGGGACCCTAGTCAGTGCCTCAGTTACTCTGTCTCCTACATTAGCTCCCATTTCCAGGCTGGCTCTCCCCAGCCCCACCCAGGGCCTACAGCCCCTGCTCCCTCCCCAGGCCATTCAGCTCCATCCTGCCCTTCCTGTCACCCTGCAGGAGCTGAGGTGGGGGGGGGGGCAGGATATGCAGGCGGCAGGATATCCACTTATAGCTTTGGCAGCACAATGGCGCAGGGGGGGGGGCACCCCAGATCCACCTCAGGCTCAGTCCTGGGAGCAGGGTAGGGGACTGGCAAACCCCCCTCACCCCTCCATGTAACAGGAGAATGTGCGATGATAGCCCCCATTTACTCAAGGGTTAATTAAGCCCTGAGAGGGGAGGATGGGCAGGGCTTCCTGGGTGAATGCTGCTAATCAAATAGAACTGGCTAGGAAGGAGGCAACACCGCAGGGCAAGCTGCATCTCAGATGTCCGGGAAGTAGAAAGAGCGCAGCAAACACAGGCTAGGTTAGGAGCGCTCCTGCCCAGGCCAGGGCTAGGGGCCTACCTTCCTTGGACATGCCCACTTCAAAGCACTTCTGTAGCCGACAGTACTGGCAGCGATTCCGGGTCACCTTGTTGATGATACAGTTTTTGTCTCGGTGACATGTGTACACCATGTTCTTCTGGATGCTGCGTCGGAAGAAGCCCTGGAGTTGGGGGTGGGGAATGTGAAGCAGGATGCTGGGAGCACCAGCCTCTCATAGGCCTCGCAGGTTACCCCAGGCCTGACCCAATCTATTACCACCTCCGTGCAAAGCAGCCCCCTCTCACCCGAGGGATGCCCACTCACACACTGTCTCACCCCTCTGCTCTGGTCCCTGGTCTCTGATCTCACCGGGTAATGTGTCCACCCAATGCGTCCACCCCCAACGCCCCCACCGCGTACACACCTTGCAGCCTTCACAAGAGCTGACCCCATAGTGGTAGCCAGAGGACTTGTCATTGCACACGAAGCATGGCTTGTAGACCCGAGGAGGTGGAGGGGGCGAGGGTGAGCTGGGCACCATCTCCTCAGAGCTAGTGCTCTGCGTCTCCACCGCTGGGGGGAGGAGGGGGAGTAGTATATGAGGGTTGGGAGAGAACCCCTCAGACCTCCAGGTATCCTCATCATGCACACATACCCATTCCCACTTCCCCTGCTCAGCAGAGACACCACCATCACCACCATAGTGATTTGAAGTCCCAACAACTGTGTACAGCCCCATAGTAAACACTTCCAGAAAACCCCAAATAACCACTATTACTGCCCCTCCCCCAATCTGGCCATTCCCCTCCCCCCCCACCCCAATAATGCCAGCCAGAGACTTACATAACACTGTTCCATTCTCTAAATTCCAGGCCAAGGCCATCCTGGAAGTTAACTTCTATGGGCCTCTGTTTCCCTAGCTATAAAGTGGGTAGATGGAGGGGTTATGGCCCATGGCTCTGAACTCTTCAGTCACTCCCTGTCACATCAATTGATCCTTCTCAGGTAATCTACCTCTCACCATCCTCCTCCTCACGAGGCAACAGATCTGGGGGTGGTAGGCAATTACAAGTCACCTATAACAGCACCTGGCTAAATGACCTGTTAGGATACTCAGTAGGTAGAATAGGACTTAATTTCCTTTCAAGTAGTACAAGGCAGATAATTCTCAAGCTTTTCCTTCTCATACTGCCCACCCAGTAATTGCCAATGTCCTTTTCACCAGAAACCACTGAGACAGTGGAGCAAATGAGACACCGGTTTTAGGAAAGTAGGTTAGAGGCTATGCAATAACCTTATGTTACACCTGAAGGAACTGAGGCCAACAGAGGGAAGTGACCAGCCCAGTGCCGCACTGCCAGTGGACAGTGGGGCCAAGGCTCTCGGGTCTTCTGACAAGCTCTGAGTGGCCTGGCTGAGAGTCAGAGGCTGGAAGGAGAGACTGAGGTATTTGCTTAGATTCTCAGGTCTAGAAGCTGCTGGGAATGTAGCAAACTAGAGAAGTCAGGTGACACTGGGTAAACAGGGCTGGTGGGGGAGGGGAGCTATATCTGGATCCTCTCTGAGCCTATGTTCTCACTCCTAAACTTCCCCACAAATGCCCAATCACAGCTCAAAAGAGGTCTCAGAGAACACCCTCTTTTCAGCAGGCTGCTAAGTAAACCTTTTTTTTGGGTGTGTGGTTGATATTCAGAGACTGGAAAAATCTATAAGTTATTCAACCTGTAGGACTTGTTGCCCGAAGCTGGAGGGCCCAAGCGATGCCAGAAAACCCTAAGACCCTCCCTAAGGAGTATTCCATGCACCCACCTCATGAACACCTTCCTTCTTCTGACCCGATGCAGCCCACCTGGTCAGATGTCCACCCCATGCCCCAGAGGGCAAAAGGAAAGCCCAGGATGCTGGTCTGGGTAGCTCCACCCACCCCACAGGAGGGAAGCCCTTCCGCCCCCCAACACACAGACACTCAATTAACATAAGAATCCTGCTGGAGGGAGAGTCCCCCAAAGAAAAAGGAGAGAGAGGAGGGGGGGAAAGAAGGGTGATTGGAGTCTATTCAGATTGGGGGGCGGGAGACTCCAGGAGGGGTTGGGCTGAGAGATGTGGGATGGGCTGGAATGCCTTTCAGGACCCCTCTGTTGTCCTCTGTGGGTACCGGTGCTGCCACAGGCCACTGTGTGGAGTGGTGCTGACTGCTGACACCCTCCCAGCCCGCAGAGCGCTGCCTCATTTCCTCTCTTGTGAAAGGGCCTGGGTGTGGTCGGACTGGCACGGGGCAGTGCCAGCCAATTATAAGACTGGGGGCTGCAGGGAGACACCCAGGGGTAGCCTTTCCTGTCTATGTGGCACTGTCAACCCTTTTCGGCACTCCTCTGGCACAGAACACCCCCTAAAACCTAAAGTGGGCGAAGAGCACAGAAAAGTGAATTGGGTCAACTCTGCTCAGATCCCCTACCCAGCCACGGCTGAGCCCCCACCACCGGGATGCAGCTCCTTGGCTAGGCTGGGGCCCCTGCTGGGGAGGAGGGGGGTGGGCTCTGGGTTTTTCTCCTTTTAAAGCCCAAATTGCTGAAATTGAGGAAATTCCTGGCCAGGCTGAGCAGAGCTTCAAACAAACTCTTTATAACCGGCTGTAAACGCTCCCAGCTGCGAGGCCCAGGGCTGAGAAGCCCGAACTCACAATCTGCCACATACCTCCTCGGAGACACACACACACACACACACACACACTCACACGTCAACAACACACGGGGCACTGAAGCAGGCATAGTACCAGTGGGCTCCTACACCACCACTGGGCACAGAACACAGGCGGCATTAGGGCACACTGGCTCCAGCGACCCTGTGGAGGTGGACGTACAAGTCATAAAGCGGACACACAACTCCCAGCGCTCCACTTCACATTTGCAAGGGAGAAGCTCTGCTACCAGACAAACACCCGGGCCTGCCAACGCAGCACCAGGACATTGAAGCTGCCAAACATGCACAAACAAACCACGCGGCCCTCCCCTCAAAGGACCTCTTTCCTTCCCTGGTTTAGACATCCAGGTTTAAATGACTTTCTCTCTGAAAGTGTGTGGATCAGGCATGAAGCCCACCAGGATCCTAGAGGCCAAAATTATTGGTCCAAATTGAAATGCAAAAACATACTGCCAGCCAAATGCAAGGGGCCACCGTGGGCCTGAAAAGAACCGGGGTTCCCGCCCGGCCTCCACAAAAACCCTTCCTAGATTTTCTCAACCTCAACACCCCTCCCAACATATCCCAAACCTGCATCCCACAGGGCAACACGAAGAAGGTAAGAATTCACAAGGATTTGGTGCAAAGCAATAGTTTCATGCTTTCTCCGCGCCCTTTAAATGCCACACTTTTAATTCTTGCCCCTCCCCACCCCAAAGTACAGTCTCCTGTTTGCCACCTCCCTCTTCCAGTCTCCCGGTTGTTAAATCTGAGCAGCTCTGCCCTGAAACCAAAAGACCAAAAAAAAAAAAAAAAAAAAAAAAAAAAAAAAAAAAAAAAAAAAAAAAAAAAAAAAAAGCCGAACTCGTAAACAGCGCTGCGGAGTGCCAAGGAGCGAGGCGTGTTGGCGGGGCTCGGTGACCCCGCAGGCGCACTCCCCCAGCGCCCGCCGACCGCCCCTTCCCAGCGTGCCCCAAAGCCTCGTCCCCCAGAGTCCGCACCCGGCTACAAGCGCGGTCCCAGCCCCTGGTAAATTTGGGGGGGAGGGGGTTCCAGGCTCCCCTCCCGGCTCCTCCCCACACCCCACCCCCGCCAGGCACTTGGGCCCAGGCTTCAAAGCCGCCTCTCATCTGGACTTCATTTTTACTGCCTCTCAGTCCCCAGCTTTTTATTACCGCTCTGGAAGGGGGTTCCAGGGCCCCAGGCCTGGCATCTCCCATTTCACAGAGAAGGAAAATGGGTATTTGGGGACCCAATAGTCGTACTCCACCCCCCACCTCGGCCTTTGCCACCTCCAGTCCAGCCCCGACCCCCATACACAGACTTTGCTTTAAACTTTCCGCTTCCTACTGAAGTTGTGTGTGTGGTAGCCAAAGGAAAAAGTCATCTCTCTGCACACAACCCTAGACACATTTCCAAACATGTCTTTTTAAAATGGGGGAGGGGAGCGCCAGCGCCCAGCCTGCCTTCGCCTGGCTGTGTGCACCACCCCTTCCACCCTGCACCGAGCACACACAGGATGCACACTCGAACACAGCGCTTTCCAAAGCCGCCCTCGCAGCCACGCCATGGCACACGCCCTCCCGGTCTCACGCCACAAACAGCCCCAGACAGGGCCACGCGGACCTGCCAAAGCTGTCGGAGGGCGACGCTGCGTGGAGACTCTCTCACCCACACCTACACCGCCTAGGCAAGGAGCTGCACACTTTGGAGACGCGCACGCTCTGCAAATAATTTTTTTTTTACACCCAACTTCCCAAATGGACTTTACAAACGCGACCCACGGTCCTGAGTGCCATATCCCTCCCGAGCCACGGACCTGCGGGCACAAACTACCAACACACCTCGGTCTCTCCCTACCCCCAGGAACTGTGGAGTGACATCAACCACAGGTCCTAGCTGAACACCCACCATAAAAACCACGCACATTCAAATACGACAGCACACACCCAACGGAGTCGCGGAGGCCCCCACGTTTAAAGGGCCAGTACCTCTCTTTCCTGCACACCCACCCGTCTCAGAGTCTCCGCTCGCACCCCAGTTCCACCTTTTACACATGGAAAGAGTAAGCCGCTCTCTCTCCTGCACTCCACCCCCCACCCCCGGGCTCGGGTACCTACATTGCAGACTGGCGGGTTGCGGCCAGGCAAAGGACTCGAGTCCGGCGAAACAGGAGCTGCCCGTGGCTCTGCGCAGCAAGCCGGCCCCGGGCCCGACAGCCCCGTACAGCCGTCGCGGACCCGGGGCAAATGTTTCCAGGCAGTCGTACATCGCGACCCGGCTTGGGTGGAAGCTGGGTGATAGGAACACCAAGGACTCGCAGCCGATTCCCCCTCCTCCCCCAGCGGCGCCCAGCTCCTGGAGGGGGGGAGGG